ATTGGGGAGAGGAGAGGAGGCGGGTGGAGCGCTGGGAGATCGGGAAAGGGAGCCGGTCATGGGGAAGGGATCAAACGCGGAGAACGATTGAGCGCTGGCTCTGCTCGCGCACCCGGTAGCCGGGTGGAGCCGGAACGAGAGGGGCGAGGTGAGGCTCAAGGGCCCGGCCTCTTTGGGAAGAGGATCGCCCGGCAGCGAGGCAAGAAAGCTGAGGCTCCCCCCGGATTGCTAGGGCTGTTGTGAGCTGAGGGAGCACTCCTCAAGTGGCGGTCGAGGGGCATTTACAGAGGTGCCTCTGCGCCCCTGGCAAAAAAAAAATGTTCTGCGACCGCTTACTTCGCGTAATGGACGAGCCGCCCCTGCCTTCAACTCTTGCTATCTTGTGTTTCCTGAATCCTGGACTTACTTTGGACCTTGGCTTACAGATTCTGATTCAACCTTATACTCTTTCACTGTTGTAGTTGTGTCTCCTAGTACCATTACTACTGATAACAGGAGTAGCAGATGAGGAAAGAGAGGTGCTCAGAGTTTGGATGAGGAACAACAGAGAAAGAGAGTTAGGGAGATATTCATGTCTCCTACAGACAATGACTCATTTGAGGAAGGAGAAATGGAGGAGGAAAGAGATGAAAGCAGGGGGTGTAAAATGGATTACTCAGGAGCAGGAGTCTGACGAGGAGCGTCAGAGGAAATGGATCCATGATATACTTACTGCTCCAACTGAAGAAGAAGATTTTATGGGATTCACTGGAAGTGATGGGTCTGGGAGTAGTGCTGAGGAGGAGGATGGGTTGGATTGGACTCGTGTGCAAGAAGATAGACATGTGTGTACACAACCTACGTCCAGCGATACTTTTGAAGCGTTTTCTGGGGACTGGCAATCTGGTGATACATGGGGAGACCTAAGTCTTGATAAGAGATGAAAAGCTGGCGAGAGGGGCGTTGGCGATCAGCTGTGGAGGCTAGAGCAGCTGATAGCAATGAGGAAAGGGTGGAGGACAGCTCATCAACAGATAATGAGTTGTAAGATAAATGTAGGCACTGGAGTAATGGCACTTTGCAGGAGGCAAAGTGTTGGATTTGTGCCTGGGTCTTTGTCGCTGCCGTTTCTCTTGTTGGGTCCTGGAATTACAGGTTGCTGCTTCTCCGTGTATCGACTGGTTTTGGATTTCTGTAAGTGCTGACTTCCTCTCTTCTTGACTTTGGACTGCCTGGACAACGACGCTGCTTTTTGGACTCTAATATCGTTGACTTCGGACTATTTTTGGACTACATCTTTGTGTTCTTCCACTTTGTATACTTACAAACCTCTGTGACTTTGGAGCATTTTGCTCAATCTTTTGTTTATTCCAGATTATATGCCGGTTTAATCCAGATTATTTGCCAAGTTAAGTTTTTGCCTTGCAAACTGCTTGAAACCTTTTGTTTTGGCCAGGGACACTAAAGTAAGTGTCCCTGAGTCCTTTTTGTTGCCTTAATAAACTTTGTTTGGACTTTATCACTGTGTCTGGTTCTTTAAAGTGTCTGGATCCTGACATTCACTCTGGCAATCAGCTTACAACCCTAGACAACATTTGGTTATTTCATTGGTGTTATCTTACTTTTTACACCTCTGCAGCGGGGGAAGTGATGGAGTGTGGGGTTGCGTGTGTGTGTGCGGCGGCGGGGGGAGTGGGGTTGCGTGTG